ACAAGCCACCTTCCCAAACTAAACAATTGTTCTTGGCAGTTAGACTCTTGAAGACTTAACTTTTAATCCAGTTTGTTCTCAAAACATTTGCACAAATGAGAGTCTTGAGGTTTGAGCTTTCTATTCTGAAGGCTCAGCTTCTTGCCCAGGAGAAAAATAATACATGCTCATGTTTATAAATAGAGTTATGGCATTGGAGTCCTTCACATTGCAGCCAGCCTAGGGACTCAGTTATTCAGAATTTAAACATTTTACTTGTAAAGAGCACTTCGGTATCCACCCCAACTTCACTGTCACTGTCCCTGCCACCCTTCCCTCTAAAACCTGGGTGTCCTCCTCCCCGACTGGCTCTGAGGACCTGGAGCCCGTCTGAGCCCACCTCCCCTCCCCACTGTCACTGGTCTTTGGCCATTTCTTGGAGCAGTTCCTGGGGCCCCTTTGCTTTCCTTGTCCTGGAAGGGCCCTGCTCTGCCTGTCTCAGCACCATCTCTGTGTGTCCCATCAGGAAGCAACAGACAACCCCTCAAGCCCCACAGTAAAAACGTCACTCCTGGTCTGGGGGCACATCCATCCCCCGTGTCCCCAGTCCTATCCTGGGTGTTCCGGGGTTCCAGTCACAGCGGTGGGGACACCGCCATCTCACTGCATCCCTCTTGCGACAGCTTGGCTGAGCTACAGGACCGGGCCACAGGAGGCCTCCTTGTGCTGGAGCTCACCTGCCAGGTGCCAAGCTCTGCCAGCTGCCCGACCCCACTGTGAGGCCGCCCTGTGCGGGCGAGTTCACTGGCAGCCCAACCAGCCCGCGAAGGCCATGTGAGTGTGAACCCCCATTACAAGCTTTCCCTCATGAGGTGGCGCTGACAGTCTAAGGTATACCTGCCTTTCGTTACCAGCTGCAGCCATTAGGCTGGCACCAGGAGGAGCCAGGTCGAGCTGGCACTGGGGGCGACGCTCTGTCTTTGATGCACCCCGATGCTTCCCCCCATCCTTCCGACTGTGGTGCTCTGCACAGACCCCTTCCAACCCATCCCAGGGCCTCTGCCCAGTGTGGCCAGAGCCTCCTGTCAACAAGTGTGTCACTGCCTTCGGGTTATTACTGCTCACTAGATTCTACTTGCTCCACAACCCAGGCACAGTGTACCAGAGTTTCCCAAACCTGTGTGCTCAGTGCCAGCCCCTTACCAAGTGCAGGGTTGCCCATTTCACTCTAGGAAATGCAGCCACAGCTCGGGGGCCAGCTAGAGGAAGGACTGTGATTGTGCCTTCCCGGGACAACTTCCAGGTCTGCCAGTCTGTGATGTTGTGAGTGTTGCCTTAGCTTTGCTAAGAAAATGCTTAGGGAGATGGGTTCCTTCACCGGTTCTTCTACCCATGTGCCGTTCTGGCTCCAGGGCCGGTGCCCCTGCTTTGGAGAGGATGCTGACATGAGCTGGCCTACTGGGGATATGTCGAGGTTCTCTTAGCCTAAGCGGCTTCCTGTCTCGGGCTCCCTCCCCAGCCATTTGGGTCACCTCGGGACCCTGAGGATTGCTTCTGGATCTCAGACCCCCTCACCAACTCCTGTGACACAATAATCAAAGGTAATTAGGAAATGTATGAATCATCTTCTTTAAGGAATATTTAGCATTTCTGCTCATTCCAGAGTCCCTAGAAACATGGCATTTCAAAGGCGCAGTTAGATCACAAGTCCAATTTACTGCCAGAAATTTGCACGTAGAATAATACAGAGCCTATGATGGCAGTTGAAATGGTATCCTGTGAGAAAATTAATTAGTCCTGAAACTAAATGCCAGCCGCCTCAGCAAAATATTCATGAGAGAGGCGAACCTCGTGCCTGGTGTTTGAAGTCAGGCAGCCGAGGCTGTGTACTGGACGTGTTCTCTGTGGCTGAGTTCTGCTGTGGATTCTGGGCTCTAGGCAAGGCCTATCTCTCCTGGACTGGCTTCCAGGGCTGCGGGCTCGGGGAGACCCTGGAGGAGGAGGGAGCCCCTGAGCCTCTTTGGTCTTGTATTTGTGTGTCCTTCTGGGCTGCAGGGCTGCAGAGTAAACCAGCTCCCAAGCCTCCAAACAAAAATAAAGACCTGTGAATGGCTATACTCGGAGAGCAGAGCGTTTTGATATCATGGGGAGACTGTGTACTTAATTTACAGTCTGAAGTTCGAGAAGGATTTAATTTTTCCAAAAATGGTGAGAGAAGAGCAGGCCCCAGCCTTTCTGTCTGATTACAAACAGCCGAGGGGGACTGGGGAGGTGGCCTGGTCCTCATGCCCCTGGAGGGGCAGGAAGAGGATGGAGTGATGTGCTTGGCAGATGCAGGAATAGCCAGGCCATGGGAAAAGCCCAGGGTTTCCAAGCAGCGTCTGATCCTCTGTGTTCCTTCTGCCCGCTGGGATGGAGCCCGCCCCCCAAATGTGCCTGGCCCACTGGTGACTCAGAGTCAGCTGCCCCCAGGACCTTCCCAGCTCTCGTGACCTTGCTGGGCATGACTTTCAGGGGAGCCCTCTGTCCAGGACACATAGGTCACTCGAATCACACAGCCGTGCTGTAGCGAATGCTAGCCGGGGGCCCTGGAGAGAGCAAGGACAGGGCGCTCCTGCATGGAAACGAAAATGAATATTTTTCTCTGCAGAAAATGGAAAGTGGTGCTGGGTCCAAGTGGTAGGTGACCTGGCTTTTGAGCGAAAATGCTGCTGGGAAATGAGAGAAAAGAAACATGAAAAGAATGCAAATGAGGATGGTGGACAGGGGCCCAGAGGCCTGATTCCTCCACCCTCCGCGAAGGCTGAGTGTGTGATGCCTATAAATAGACACTCAAAACCCGTTATAAATGGAGTGAAGACATGGGCCTGCTCCCTCTTCTGGAAAGGCCTTACATAAGGTGCAGTGCTGCTGTTGCTCCTGGGCGGTGTGACGATTCCGTGCCTTTGTTGGAAGTCCGTGTGAAGCCCGTGGGGCTGCCGGGGGATGCAGATGGATGAGCTCTGGCCTTTCCGGAGACTCGCAGACTCTGGGAAGGAGGCAGTGGGCAGTGGGCAGGCCCCCCAGGGCTGGGACGCAGTCCTGAGACAGTCTCCGGGTTTCCTGAGGTGCTTCTGGGCAGGAGCAAGTGGGAAAAGCTGGACTGCAGGGCTTGGTCAAGTGACAGCTGCCCAGAGCTGGGGTTTAGGGTGCCTGGAGAGGACAGGGACTGGCAGGCCTGACTTTCTCACTGATGTGCTTGGGGTCACAGGGCTAACCTGTAACAGAGTGAGGAACTGAGGCCGCATCCCGGACTCCCATGGAGGGTTCTTGCTGCTGGGCTAACCTTTGGTTCATGCCCTCACTCAGAATACTTATTTTTGGAGGACCCCAGGTGGCGAGCTTGGGAGTGAAGAATCACATTCGATGCTAATGTGATTCCAGGCAACATTCTTGAGGTTTCTTTGCAGTTCACCTTCCCAGCCACCTTTGAAGTAGTTCTTATTGTCCAGTTTTACACACGATGAAACTGACGGAGATGGTGTGAAGGGATTTGCTGACGTTCACACAGGAAGCGAGCAGCCCACGCTGACTCCACTGCGGAAAGCGTGTGTGTGATTGACATGCTTTTTGTGTGGTGCTCACTTTGGGTGTGATAAAGAGGCCTCCTTGCAGAGGGCCAGGCTCTGTGAAGCACCACGTCGCTTCAAAGAACAGGCCTTGAAAGGCCACAGAAGCAGCATACCCTGGGAAGGAAATGGAACAATGGTGCAAACGGCCAGTTTCCCCTGAGCAGAGGCAAGCAGGTTACAGCTCTGCGGCTCCCTTCACGGGTACCTTGTTCAACACGGAAACATCTTTAGCCTCCTCAGAGACATCGGGTCATCTCCTTTACGTGGGGACCGGAGGTATCTGCACTGGGCCATTTTGGGGAGGAAATTCCGTAATTATAACCCTCTGCTGGAAGAGTCTGCCTGGGTAGTGAGAGCAACTGGCCGCTGTCTTAGAGAAGTGAAGACGCTGAGTACAGACCAAACCTTTGTGATGAAGTCCAAGCCACTGTCTCGCCTGTGTCCCGTTTCCTTCCCCAGTGAAAGGGGCTGTTCCCTGCTACCGCAGACCCCAGGACCAGATTGCAGGTGCCCTGTCCAGCAGTGCAGCGATTCGTGAAGGGCTCCCAGCCTGACCCAGCCCAACAGCTGACACCCCCGGGGGGAGGCTGTATTGCTATCCTTTTTGAAAGGAACACAGAAAGCCTTTGTAACTTTCTCTGTCTGTAGCCAACATGGAGGGAGAGGCAGAATTCAGATGTGGTGTTGCAGACGAATGAACGCCCCTCCTCCTGTTCCACCCCTGGCTTCCTGCCCATAGCCTTCTAATGCCCTTGCTCTGAATTCCTGATCCAACCCAAGGGCCTGGCCTTGATGCCCCCCAGCCTGCTGGCAGGAGCTTCCTCTTCAGCCTTCCTGTGCAGAGCTTCCGCTGTTCAGGGAAGTCTGAGACCTGGTGGTCTCTTCCTTGTTCTTTTCATGAGATGATCTCGCCCAGGAGAAGGTGGGCTGAGACCCTGGGCATTGGAAGGGAGAGGTGGTCCTCCTTCCTCTCTTCACTTTCATCGCTCTCCACTCCCCGCCCACCCCCATATGTACACCCTCCACAGTCTGAAAGTGTCGTGAAGCATCAGCTTTGCAAACCCGTGGGGTCAAGCTTTGTTGTGGGAAAATACATATTCATGAGGGCTTTGAGGAGCCTCATTAAAATGCAGAGAGTCTCTCCTTGCAGAATGGTACATAAGCCATCTCTTTATTTGCCCAACACATTGTTCTTAAGGCAATAATTATGCGATGAATGGCTAAAGAAACATTTTAATTATTTGTTTAGGGTAATTTCTGATTATCTCATTAGAATTATAATCTGTTCACTTTTACAGGTGATTCAAAGCCTCATATTTACATTTTTATACTTGAAGGAGCTCTATGTGGGCACCTGTATCATTGCTGAAACAAAAGTGATTTTCTCTGTTTTCTTCTGTTTTCTTCCAGAAAGATTTGATCACCAGGCAGGAGATTTTTCGGGACATTACCAGACCACTCATTTTCGGTAAGAAATACAAGGCAGCGTTGCATGGAGTGAGGTTTTGCGTTTGCCGTGTGGGGAGCGGACCGTTTCACTGGAGGGAAAACGCTACACTGCAGGCAGAACTGGCAACTGCCGTGGCTCTTTGTTTTCTGGGATCCTGTGTGTGTGAGCTCGGGGAGTTCGAAGCTGGGGTTTGAGTCACAGCCAAGGAGTGGACGGACAGGGGGGACTCTGCTGGCACTCACCTTGCCTGGAACCAACCTGCCCACCACCCAATGACAACAGCATGACAAGCACTCCACGTGCATCCCCTCCTCATCATACTGGTGTTTCTGTAAACTGTGGTCCTCACCAGACTCCGTCATTGATTTGTGTAACCCCTACCTAGGTTCCTAGTTACAGCCAAAGTAGACACATGTATATTGGCAACAATGGTAGCACTCGAACCTTTCACTCTCCAGTGTGGGCAGTGGCTGGTCTACTTCGAGAAGGGACCAGCCATTGTGAGATACCAGGAAGCTGAGCAGAAGAAATCTAACTTTGATAAAAAGAGGCCTCCTCAGCTTGCCAGGGATGGAGTGTGGCCCATCCTCCCTCCCTGTGCATGGAGCAGTATTGCAGCCCTGATGACACTGCCCCACGGTCAGCATCTGGCTTGCCCTTGCCCCATAGGACTGGTAGGAACAGAGCCCTGGTGCCAACCGAGTGTTCCACACAGCGGAGACTTGCAAGGGACAGGTTCTGCACCGCAGATGAATCGGCTGTCTTCTGTGGCTGGAGACACACAAGGCGGCGGCGTTGTAGGGAAGCCAGTGTACGGGGTGGGGCGTGTTTGGAGAACGAGGAGCAGAGAGCATTGTTGCTGGAGTTAAAGAAGCAGAGCCAGGGATAGTTTTCATGTTTGATGCCCAGAGCAGGCCTGAGCTTCTGAGGGATTCTGGGGGTTCTTATGTATTCTTGGGAAGGAGCATGTGGTAAGCTTGGACAGGGAGGCAGTTCAGAGTGTTACATGCAAGGCAGCAGTGGCCTCGGGACCACCCTCCCCCGACCAAGGCAAGGAACACTTTGTGTGTCCCCGTGGGGAAGCTCTGTGCCAGTTGTGAGGGGACGGATGAAGACCAGCAGGGGTGAGGATGGGATTCTGGAGGGTCAAGACTCAGGTTCAGAATCACAGTTTTTCGTCCGGGGCAGCACAAGGCCACAGGTCTGGCTATTTGAAGCCACCCGGAGAGCCATTATTTGTAAAGCAAGGCGGCTTTATTGATTTCACTTTCTGTCCTGCATCTTTCCCACATCGTGGTAACCGCTCACACCCCTGTTCTGCTTGTGTGGCCGGAGTTCCCCTGCATCCAGTTGGGAAGCATTCTTGTCACAGATATCCTGGGTGAATTCCACGGTGGCTCTCCGTGGAGGGGGCACATTCACAAGGCATTTAAGAGATGTAGGACAATCAGCCCTCATCCATGAAACAGGATGAAATGGAGAGGAGCTGCATGATTATTAATGGGTTTGGACATAAGCTGGAGTGTCTACTGAAATTTTTCTCTGTTGTCAGTTTTCAAAGTTTGTGAATGTACTTTTGTGCTCTCCACAAGGCCTTTTCTGCTCTGTTTAACTTTCCGCTTAGGGTTGTAAACATACTTCAGCTGTAATGACATTAGATGCATCATCCACTCGGCTCTGAAAGTGCTGGAGATTTTGATTGTCACCAGCAGTAAGGACAGCTTATGAAGGGGGATGTTGTTCCTTATGGAGATGCAGCTCACGATTCCATGAAATTCCAGTCTTCTGGAGCCCAGGGTTAAGCAGCTGCCTCAGCCCATCCACCCTCTACGGACTGTCCACGGCGAAATTGGCTTCTTGACGTTTTCCTTATGGAACCTGGGGTGTCATTACATTCTGAGAGAGTCATAGGGTTATGTCTCTAAGGTATAAGGCATTTTTTTTCTTCTGAGTCTAGAAAAGAACTACTGGAATTTTTATGTGTCCTGAAATACTATTAGACGATCAAAATCAATTGCAATAGAGAAGGTGCTGGGCTGTCTTCCCGATTGCGCTCACCCATCTGCAGTGTAATGGGCCTATCATGTAAGTGAATATACTCATCACAAGTCTCTGCAGCTTCCCAGCAGAAAAGCATATCCCTTCTCAGAGAGAAAGGCGGCAAGGAGATGGATATTTTTAAATGCCAATTATGCCAGAATGAGTCTCTGTGAGGAGATCTGTAAAGAGAAGAAAGGGCCTGGGTTTATTTATTTTTCTACTGCAAATGGAATCATTCTGTAGCTTCAGAATACTAATACCCGTGGTGTGCCTGATGTCTTTTCATAGGATAATTTGTGAATGTGCTTCCACTTACAGGAAAAGTTTGAGGCTCTTTTCTTCTTTTTTTTTGAGAATTAAATTCTAGGCCTCACTATATCCTATGATAACCATCCTATAGGCCCTTGATCTATAAAATGTGTGAATAATGAAATATATAAAACAGCAATTGTCCTGAAGGAACATAGAAAAAATTAATAAGCTGTATTTAAATTACAGCAAGTCTCAGAACATATATTAAGTTAGAAGACATCACGTCCTGAAAATGACTGGCTGATGTGGTACTATTATGTGCCCCAGTACAGATGCATATAAATGCTATGTAAAACCTAGCCCAAAGTGTTTTTTAAAATATAAGATCCAAAGAACGGCATGGAAATTCCAAGCTACGAGACATGAAGAGAAAACACAAAGCCAGAGCGCTAAGGGAGGAGGCCATGAGACCCCCAAGCAGTGAGGTTCCTGTTGGAGAGCCAGGATGATGAAGACTGTATGACGTTTGTGCAGGAAGAGACAGGGCAATGGCTGGGACAGGGTAGCGAGGCTAGGAGCAAGTGCTCACATGTATAGCAAGCCAGGAGGTGGCAGAGCTGTGTTATGGACCAGGTGGGAAGTGATGCAGGACAGCTGGTTGGCCACATAGGAAAAGAGAAAAGATGAAGTGAAATCCCTACCTCACAGCATATGTACCAATAAACAGCCATAGAATTAAAGGCCTATGCTGGGCATGGTGGCTCACACCTGTAATCCCAGCCCTTTGGGAGGCCAAGGCAGGCAGATCACCTGAGGTCGGGAGTTCAAGACGAGCCTGGCCAACATGGCAAAACCCCATCTGTACTAAAAATACAAAAAATTAGCCAGGTGTGGTGGAGGACACCTCTAATCCCAGCTACTCGTGAGGCTGAGGCAGAATTGCTTGAACCTGGGTGGCGGAGGTTGCAGTGAGCGAGATTGTGCCACTGCACTCTAGCCTGGGTGACAGAATGAGACTCCGTCTCAAAACAAAACAAAACAAAAAAAGAATTAAGGGCCAAAATGTAAAGAGAAAAATGTTAAAATACATAGAAGATTTTTTTCTGTCTGCTCTTGAGGTGGGAAACATACACACATCATAAAAGAAAAGATGGATTAAGCAAACATCAGTATTAGCAACTTCTTTAAGAGAACTACAGGCTGGAATAAATATTCATGATGAATGTACTGTGAGAGATTGGTATTCTGTTTGTATCAAGAACTCTTTCAGATTAATTTTAAAAAGACAATAGAATTGAAAAAGGAGCAAATACTGTGAAGACGAAGAAATGCAAATGTCAAGTAGACAAATGAACTCTGCCTCGCTCCTAATCAGGGAACTGCCAGGGAGATCATGAGATACCACTTCATACTCACATGTTGGCAAATTGGAAAGTCTGATAATCGAAGGCTGCTCAGAGTGTGAAGCAAGGGGGCCTTCATGTCCTGTTTATCAAGGGCAAATTAGTAAAACCCCTTTGGAGAACAATTAGATGTTATCTAGTAAGGTTGAAATGTGGATCCCCCAGGACCCAGCAATTCCGCTCCTGGGTATAGATACCTTAGCAGGCCATGAAATGGATTCAGTGTTGTTTTAGTCAGTTCTCTTGAAAACAGAACCCATAGGATCAATTTTTCTTAGAGTTTATGTGTTGATTGATCAATTCATTGGGGTCAGTTGATAGATCATAAGGTATTGGCTTGTGTGAGATGGCATCTGTGAAGTCCCACAATCTGCCATCTATAAGCTAGAGACCCAGGGAAGCCAGTATTGTAGTGCAGAGGCCTGGGAAGCAGAGAATTGGTGCAGATTCCAGTCCAGGCCAAAAGGCCTGAGAACCAGAAGCATGGAGGACAGAGAAGACCAATGTCCCAGTCAAGCAGTCAGGCAGAGCGTGAATTCAACCCTCCTCTGCTGTTTTGTTGTATGCAGGCCCTCACTGGAGTGGACGCTGCCCACCTACACTGAGGAGGGCCGTCTGCTTTCCTCAGTCTGCCAATTTCAATGATAACCTCTTCCAGAAACACCTCACAGACTATCCAGAAACAGTGTTTAACCAGACGCATGGGCACCTTGTGGCCCAGTCAGGTTGACACGTAAAATTAACCATCACAAGTGGGTCACAACCAGCATTTTCTAAAAATATGAACTGGATTAGAATAGAAGATATCAGGGTTTGTTATGCATAGTGAATGATAGTGATCCTGAGAAGGGGGACTGTGAGGGGGTGGGACTGACAGCGATGGTTAAGTCTGAGTGGTGTGTTCATGGAGGTTTGCTACATTGCTTTCTGTATTTCTGCATATTTGCAAAGTTGAGGAGAAAAGAAGTTGCACTGAACACCTAGATGTAGGCACACAGACCCCAGTGTTCTCTGCTGTGGGTCCCTCTGATGGGGCCATCTTGCTCCTGTCTTGCTGGTTCATCCTCCACCTTGGCTGACTACCTGGCACCTTTGTACAGACGGTTCTGTTTGTCTCTTCATTGAAATGGGTGGGATTGATTTATTTATTTAGAGACAGGGTCTTGCTCTGTTTCCCAGGCTGGAGTGCAGTGGTGTGATCACGGCTCACTGCAACCTTGACCTCCAGGGCTCAATCAACCCTTCCTCCTTGGCCTCCTGAGTGGCAGGGATTACAGGCACGTGCCACCACACCCAGCTAATTTTTGTATTTTTTTAATAGAG